TGTACAAAATTGTTTCCTGTTTTTTTCTAAATAAAAAAGAAAAAAAAAGTTAGAGCTTCTGTTAACTTAGAATTTGAATGAAGCTGTTGTAGTCTATTGGCTTAAAATGTCTTTTGAAACCCAGAGTGGCGAAGTTGAGTGTATATTAGTTCATAAAATGTGTAGAGTAGGGGAAAAAAAGTCATTCATATTAAAGGGAAATCTCAAGCTTTTGTTCTCATACCAACAAAATGTTCAAGGTGGATCTGCAATATTTGGTTATTGATCAGGAACTTTTGAAATTTTAGAACAGGAGAATCCCTCTGAAGAAATGTTTTAACAACTTGGAGGTTACCAGAAGCTCTGAAAGACAGTTCAGAATATATTGCATCACATTTTCTGATGTCCAGAAATCTGCAAGTGTCAATTTTGTGTTTTAACTCCTTCCTTTTACCTGACTATCAGGGAAGCGTGGTTGAGGCTGACCTGACATGTCATGATGTCGACTTGCTAGGTGGGGTTCGCAAGGGACATTAACCTTGGAGTTATCGGTAAGACAACTTTCTTTCTCATTTCCTTCAGTAACATAAAAGGGCTGGGGTGGGAGGAGGGAGGAGATGAGCTCCACAGACCTGATCACTGGAGTATTGTTGAAAATCTGCCATTGCCATGGAGAGATTCCAAGCACTGAAGGTAAAAGTTGAATTTAAATCCATCCATGTCCAAGAGGAGCATGGCATAAGTTCTTACAACTGAAATCCAATTGAAAATAAAGATCACTTGCACTTCAAAAGAAAACTGGATGCAATTTTAGGGATGCTGGAAGCATAAAAGATCTTGAACACTTAAAATGTTCTTCTGTAATTAAATCCAGGTATGGGGGGGGGTGGGGGGGATGTTTCCCACCATGGAAAAGCAAAGCACTTACAGCACACTTTGAAGTCTAAGAATGCTGTTTAGAAATGTGTCCAAGTAGATCTCTGTAAAATAATAAAATTTTATCTTGAAAATAACAACAAAAGTGGCATATCATGAGTTTGGATCATTTACCTATTAAATATGACAACGCTTAAGAAGGTATTAATTGAGAGAGAATTGCAATTAAACCAAGAGGCAGTTGTGGTTGATCCCATTATAAAACCACTGGATTTTAGTAATCATCTTTTTTGTGGAGGGCATGATATGCTGGTTCTAGACAAACAAATAGCAAAACCTG